TGCTGGCCTTCTTGAAGTTAACTACATGCTGTCTGAACTTTTGTATGCAAAATTCAGTTGGACAAGAAACAGAGACCCCAACTCTTGATACTGTTTGTGTGTTTTACTGTCTAAGAGATCTCTAATTGAGATTTAGTCTGTTCTGTCAGACACAATTTTGGAAGTCTCGGTTTCCATAGAATTGATTCTATAGAATCAATTATATACCAATTCCAATAATTATATGCCTTAATTTTTGACAAAGTACATAAATTCCTCAGCTCTAAATGCAGCCGTTTTATCCACAACCAAAATACTCAGATGCTGTGATTGTGTTTGCTCTGGTAATAGTACATGTTTTAAGTCCCAAACCTCAGCTTTATTAAAGAGAATAGAAACCAATAATAATATTTTTGTTATTTTTCTTGTTATAATGTTGTAATAATTTCCAGCATTTCTTTATGGTGATGTGGTTTGGTATTAGAGTTTCAGTGTCTGCTTCACCCTCTAGCCCCCTGTAGAAATCAGTCAGATTTTTACAAACATTTGTACAGGGTAGGGAGCCTTCTGTGAATTCCTAATTTCAGCTTGGAGGGTTGGTCAGATAGGGGTGTCTCGAGGAGGATACATTCTTTTAGGTCCTGCTCCATGCTAGAGGTCTGTTTCCAAATTCTGCATGGACCACAACACTCCAAAGAACACAGCTGGTTCAAGCTAGATGTGTATGGGGCTCAAGAATTACTGTCAAGCATACCTTGGGGCAACAGACTGCCGTATTTTTGGGACTATAAGATGCACTTTTTTGTCTCCCAAAAGGGGTAAAAATGTCTGCATCTTATAGACTAAATATTGCCAAAGCCCCACACACCCACTGGCCATTTTTTGGTCTCTGCACGCCCCATTTTTGGGATTATTTTTGGCTTTCTTCAGTCCATTCTGAAGAAAAAATGGGCCGAAAAAAGCCTCAAAAATGGGCGGAAAAAAACCTCAAAAGGGCTACAAAAAGCCTCAAAAACGGGCGAAAGAAGCCTCAAAAATAAACCCCCAAAAGCCTCAAAAATGGGGCAAAAAGGCCCCAAAACAGGGCAAAAAAATCATGAAAAATTGGTAAAAAAAGCCTTGAAAACGGGTAAATAAAAGGCTGCAGAAGGGAAGAAAAAAGGGCCAACCTTCCCCCTTTTTTCCTCTTCTAAATTTAGGTGCATCTTATAGTCAGGTGGGTCTTATAAACCAAAAAATACGGTAAAAGTTTTTCTCTTGCAAACAAGAAATATCTTCTAAAGTTAACACATATACAGGTGAAACACGAAAAATTAGAATATTGTGCCAAAGTTCGTTTATTCCAGTAATGCAATTTAAAAGGTGAAACCAGTATATGATAAGACTCATTACATGCAAAGCATGAGAGTTCAAGCCATGTCATAATTGTGATGATTATGGTTTACAGCTCATGAAAACCCCAAATCCACAATCTCAGAAAATTAGAATATTACATNGTAATGAAACATCTGCAAGAATACAAGCAAGCTCAGAGAGCACCAAGGACCCCTCCCTTTTCTATACTTTTCTATTATTTCAAACCATCCTTGCTACTAACAATATAATAAACTAAATTATAAATTACTTTCTGACAATTTTATTAATTAATTCTTAACTGTCTCTGCTTTCATCTCAGTGCATTCAAATTTACTGCATATATTTGTTTTACAATTCAGTGTTCATTATTTCTATGTGGTCAAGTCATCTTAGGACTCTTTCACACACCAACTTTTGTTATTTAATCCATTTCATTCATCACCCATTCATCCTTGATTTTTCTGTATTAGACAAATACTATCCTTTTCTACTCTTCTACCAACATATGCATGTTTTAAAATTTCTCAATTTTTCTGAGTTTAGCAAACATTCTGCCAAAGTATACAAATTCATTTATTAGGTCTAATTTTTCCCTGTTTATATGTAATCTTGCAGTCATTCATGCTGTTTTCTTTGTGAAATACAACTCTCTTGATCTTCAGTATATTAGTTTTCAGATTCATACCACTCATTGCATCATATAGTATATTCTACATTCAATGTGAGTAATTTGAGTTCTTACCAATTGTATAGCGTCAACTTCATACAGGAGTACACACATTCCTTTCTTCAACCAAAATGCTTGTTGAAGCACCACAAGAATTTCTTGCTTGTGTACTAAAAATAAATAACCAAGAAGAGTATTGGACATTCTTCTTTCGCTCCTAGTTTATTGGTGAACTACATTCAATTTATTGTCTTGCATGATTGTATGCTACTGGCATACAATTCATGTTCATTCAGCAATCCACAAACAAAACATTCCCAGTTCATGTTTATTCACTTTATCATTAACAAACGTATAATATGTTTTCTCAGTTCATACATTTCTTAATAATCTGCTGAAAAGCAAAAATCTGTATTTCACTGGTCTGGCTTAAAGCAAACTTTGCTTTCCACTTACTATTTATACTCTCTTATAAATATCATAAATATAACATCTTTTATTTTAATTATTTTGATACATTCCAAGTTGTAATGTTCCATATACCATATTTAATAGAGGAGCCCATGAATCTTGGCTTTCTTGGGTCATTATAGTTTTGATCAACTTTTATAGATGTCTTTTTAATATGATAATAATAGACTAAATTACCAACTTACATCAATGTAGAAATGTTCTACATTTAGCATGCTCTGTTGGTGGCAACTATATATGAAAGTAAGTTTTGGCACATTTTGCTCAATGTACCATAATTTAATCAAACACTGTTTTATTCCAAGCATTCAATTTGTTTCATACATTCAGAAGAATATAATTATACATCTCTGAACTACTACTGTTTGTCATCTATTTTAGGGCCTTATGTCTGAACTTCTAAACAACTGTGATGGGCAACTAAAAGGAGAAGTTGCACAAATGGCAGCTTTCTATGAGCACCGATTACAACTGGGCAACAAAGCTATTTATCACCTGGAAGCATTTGTAGCCAAATTCATGGCCCTTTATAAAAAATTTATGGAAGATGGACTTGAAGCTATGGTGTTCTAATGCATAGCTTTGAGAATACTCATCAATTGTGATTATGAACTGCAAATCACAAGAGTTTTACAGTATCTAGGCAATAAAATCAAAATTGTTGAATTTCAGTGATTTTGTCATGATTAATTTTTTGAAGCAGTTCAATTATTCTGAGAAAAGTAACTTACTGTATTTTTCAGAGCATGAGACACTCCGGACTATTAAGACACACCTATCTTTTTGTGGGAGGAAAACAAGAAAAAAGGGCCCGTTCAGCACTGCCACGGCTTGTTTATTTTATTATTAAACATTTATTATTANTTTTACAATTAAAAGGTCTTCCAAACTGCAAGTTTGAAAACCTACCTGATAAGGTAAAGGTAAAGGTTCCCCTCGCACATGTGTGCTAGTCGTTCCCGACTCCAGGGGGCACTAGGGATTCGAACCGCCGAAATGCCCACCTTTCTGATCAACAAGTTCAGCATCTTCGCCACTGAGCCACCACGTCCCTCTTGATAAGATAAACTTCATCCCAAATAGAAGAAAAGTTAGCTAGCAGTATAAAAACCTGAAGAAATATAAAACAAATTACAAAAAGCTAAATAAGTATTTAAGAAAGTTTAAGATGGATTAAGGAACCAGACAAATTTGGAATCTTAGGACTTTTGAAAAACTGAGTAAATTCTGACAGCAATAATCTCTGCATCAGTAAATGGATGTTTTGAAAATGATTATAAAGAAGTGGAAGATGTGACAGACAAAAAATGTGGAAGAATTTATGGATAGGGTGAGGAAAGGATACAAATCCTAACACATGGAATAATATTGGAAAACAAAAAAAAATTGGGGATTAAAACACAGTATCACTTGTTTGTTTTCACCTCTGAGTGGAAACAAAAATGACAAATCAAGAGATGAAAAAAGTCCTGGGAAAACACAGTCTTTACAAAAGAGTGTTTCGAAAACTTTTGGAAAAAAATTGAGAAAGAAGAAAGTCTGCATGGAAATTTAATTCTATGACAGCAACTTGATAAAGATTAAAATTGTTGGAAGCAAAATAAAGGAATATAAGGTTGGCTAAAATGATCAGGGCTAAAATATGGAGTATTTTATAAAATCCTGGAAAACTTTTATAGATGTTTTGCCAAGATTTCAGCAGAAATAGTGAATTGTAGATTTATGAATAGATGGAGGGGGCTATGAGAATACATGGACCATTAAGATTGTAAAACTCTTTAAAAAAAGTATTTTTGTAAAGAATGAAACAGTAATTTCAAAGAACACAAATACAGGTGAAACTCGAAAAATTAGAATATCGTGCAAAAGTTCATTTATTTCAGTAATGTAACTTAAAAGGTGAAACTGATATATGAGATACACTCATTACATGCAAAGCAAGATAGTTCAAGCCGTGATTTGTCATAATTGTGATGATTATGGCTTACAGCTCATGAAAACTCCAAATCCACAATCNCGTCATGTGCATTTTCATGGCTTTGGTCATTGACCTCCAAGGGTGCCACTGGGGAGAAAACTGTATTTTGAAGCATCAAGTGTCTGTGTATCCTATGTAATGTTTGGTGGAAATCAGCTTTTAAAGCGTCTCTTCATTTGAAATACAGGTTATTCTTTGGTTTGATCCGTCCTTGCTATTCCTCTAAGTCCCTTTTCTCACCCAACTCTAGAAAAACTTGGCAGACAGCTTTTTCATCACTGAAATTCAGAGGCAGTTCCTCTGAACGGAGATATTTATAATTATATCTCTGAAGAGAGATATAATTAATGCAAACAATAAAAAGCAGAGAAAGGATTATCATTTTTCAAACTAAAATGGAACGAAAGGCAGAATTATTTTAAAGCACACCATGCTTGATATGTAAGAATTAAAAAAAAGAACTGTACTGCTTTTGTTCAATAATGTGAGCTACATCTCATTAGTATTGATCTCCTAAAGTTCATCTTGCTTAGTATCATTTCTTTTCAGGCACCCTCTAAAAAGAAAATTGAAATCAGCACTATTGCAAGCAACTATCATCTTGAAGTTAATCCAAGGTATGTTTGTAATCAGCTCTGAATATCTAGTTTCTGGTGCAGGAAAATGCAGTGTTTAAAGAAAATGCAATTTTAGTTGTGGCTTTTATAAATGGTGCAGTTGATTAATATTATTGTATTAAATGATACTTACTTCACTTTATAAAGTTAACAATTCTAATATAGTAGGTAGTAAATTTTATATATTAAAATTCCCAGTAATGTTGAAGTAACATAGGGAAAAATATTTGGGAGAATGGAAAACTGAAAGATATACGGTACACTGTATACACTGTATTAAACATAATATTGTAACTTAATTTGCACATAACATTATGTTGTTTAAAGTGAAAAATATAAGCCAACCAGAGTCAACTTATAGGACAAATGGGTGGCATAAAATTTTAGTAAATAAATAAAAATAATAAATAAAATAAATAAAATTTATTTAGACAAAAATTATTGAATTTACTTAACAGCGTTACACATTTTTATTGCAAATGGAGTACAGCCTATTGAAATTTAAAGAGTATAACATATTTAGGAAAATTATGCAGCAAAAACTAGCCACAATCATCACTAGTGAAGCAAAAAAGTTATGAATTTTATTTTTCAGTACATCTGACATTTTTGAAAGTAAGTAATTTTCAAGAGAAAAAATGAGAAAAATGGAAAAACAAGACATAATGCATATTAAAATGTCCAATCTGATACTATAGTTTATTTGAAACTTTAGAGGTCAGTATAGCTGTAAGTTTCTGGAATATTCCATCTGTTAGTGACAGCTGTGTCATTTGTACATTTACAATCCATGCTTATGTTAAGAACTTCATAAAGGAAAGAGTCAGTTTGGTGTTCTCTTTTAGGCACCAGGCTAAAAACAAAAGACCATGAGTCTAGTCCTGCCTTAGGCACAAAGTCAGCTGGGTGACTTTGGCCAAATCACTGCCTCTCAGTCCTAGGAAGAAGGCAGTGGCAACCCACTTGCAACATCTTGTCAAGAAAACTGCAAGGATTTGCTCAGACAGTTGTTAGAAGTCAATACTGATTTAAAGACACCCCTCCCTTGCAAAACATCATTGAACTCCCTACAACTTTATTTTGCATAAATATGAATATGAGGAAAAGGTAGGTTGCTGAACTTCAACGCTCAGCATTCTACTAGTCATACTTTCTGGGAATTATAGAAGTTGCAGGAAAAATCTTTTTTTTTAAAAAAAGATATGTTTTTATATTAATTTTCAGTGATGCAGGGAACAGTGACCGAGTCGTAATACAGGAATTGCTGAAGACAGTTGCACAGTCACAGCAACTTGAGACAAACACTCAGCGTGATTTTAAAGGTCTGTACATAAATTGTGTAAGTTATTTCTACAAAGCTATTCAGTGTTGTATGTTTTCCCAAGCAGAATTGTTTGGAGAAATTGATTATATGTAATAGTTATGTAGTAATGTGTAATGTAAGTTATCACATTCATTAAACATTATTCACACATCCAATCACACTTCAGCCATTAAAAAGAATAATTCTCCATATATAAAAATAAATTTAAAAGACTAGTAAGTTATTACAGCTCCTTCGCTTCCTAGCTTATAAACCAAATAAAAACTTCCAAAGATGGCAAAATAGGGATTACGAACAACATCTAGTATAAAGATTTCAAAAACTACAGTGTTGAGGAAATAGGTAGAAGATTTACAGAATGCATCTTCAAGCATTTTTCATCATGTCAAAAGACAAAGGAAAATGGTAAACTACACATCACCAAAACAGTGGAAACCATGCTGTCCTAACAAGCAGTAAGGCAGTAATCTTGGTCCAATGGAATCCTTCTGGATAAGCCGAGGATGAAAGATCACCTACTTGTGTTTTTGACAGTTCCTCTTGAGCACAGAGATGAAGGAAACCATAATATTTTCAACCATAATAGAACCTCTAGGGGTTGATCACTTCATTTTCTATTCATCATTGAATTTACAATTGTTTTACAATTAAAAGGTCTTCCAAACTGCAAGTTTGAAAACCTATCTGATAAGGTAAGGTAAAGATTCCCCTCGCACATGTGTGCTAGTCGTTCCTGACTCTAGAGGGCACTAGGGATTCGAACCGCCGAAATGCCCACCTTTCTGATCGACAAGTTCAGCATCTTAGCCACTGAACCACCGCGTCCCTCTTGATAAGATAAACTTCATCCCAAATAGAAGAAAAGTTAGCTAGCAGTATAAAAACCTGAAGAAATATAAAACAAATGACAAAAAGCTGAATAAGTATTTATAAGATGGATTGTGCTGTGATTTTGTATCTTTAGCAATATATGTAATGGAGATTCTTTTGGAAGGGTGTCATTCTCATTGGGAAGATAAATATGATGGACTACCATGTACTTAGAATATTTATAGAAATTTTGGGGTGAAAAACAATCTCATAAATGCATGTGGGAGAAAGATCATAGTTTTTTGAGTAGGAAGGCTTAATCCTGGCTTCTGAATTCAGATGTACTAAAAGTAAATTAAGATAATACACTCTTGAGAATCTAACTAAAAGTTATTGCTGATTATTTTTAGTGGTGCTGTTGACGGAAGTGGACAAGCTTACAAAGGATGCCCAGCATGCATTGCGAAGAACTATGGAGAAGTACATGGCCACCTGTAGATTAATTCTTTGTTGCAATTCTACATCAAAAGTAATTGCACCCATCAGGAGTAGATGCCTTGCAGTGCGAGTCCCTGCTCCAAGTATTGGAGATGTAAGTTCATGATGAAGATGAATTGCTTTCCAGATGTTTTTTCCCCAGTGTTATTTGCATGGAGTTTAGCATGCAAATTGAGCAATCCTTGTTTATTGTCTTTCTCTGAACTATTTATGCTTATCCAATTAGCCTATATTTAACATTGTTGCTAAATGTGAATGTAATTTGTACAACTTAGATCCATGCTTACTTTGTTTTCTTCATAGACATGGAGAGGAATTTAATATTTTTGGAAGGGTTTGGAATGATAAGATTCAGTTTGTGAAGCAGGAATATGGTGAGGTCCTAGAGACAAAACAATAGTTGAAAGTGGCAGGGAATGCTCTTCTTGTTTGTTACCACCATTTTTATAAGTATTCATGAGGGCATAGTCTTTCAACTTATTTCTAAAATAGAGGGAAGTAAACTGTCAGATAGCATGTGCTGGTAAAATCTACACCACCCCCCCTCTGATGTTAGATTTTGTGCCAGATTGAAATGTTCCCTGATTAAATTCTATCCGGCATTTGCCAGTTTTGAATCTGTTAGTTGATGGTGTCTGTTGGTCTTTGGCTTATGATAAATAGGACTGATTAATCCAGAAATTCACAACATTGCCAACTGGAGTGCTTAAAATATTTCTATGTCTTTTGTACTGTAAAAGGTCCAGGGTATAATTATTCCCTATGAACTAGAAGCACTGAAAACAGGTATAGCAGAAGAGATCACACTTAGAGCTTCTGATTTAAGGTATATGTGAGAGAAGGCAAAGAAGAAATACATGATGGGAACTATGTAGTAGGTGTAGTCCAGGCAATCAGTACTTCATTGCTAATTTCTCCAAACTGATATCTTTCTTAGGGACTTTCCTCTTTGTTTACTCCTGCATCAACTGATGCAGTGATATGTAAGCTTTTATAAAACAAATGTTTGCAAAACTAATATTTGTCTTACCAAATATTTAGATCTGTACCATTTTATCAAATGTTTGCAAGAAGGAAGGCCTGACTCTTCCTCAAGAATTGGCTCGGAGAATTGCTGAAAAATCTGGGAGGAATCTCAGAAAGGCTCTTCTAATGTGTGAGGCATGCAGAGTACAGCAGTAAGTTGTTGTTTTTTTTAAAAAAAATGGATATGGAGAGAAATAAACAGCACCGAGTTAATCTTAGCAAGTCTTTACTACTTGTCTCGCAGGCTTCCTTTCACGCCTGATCAAGACATTTCTGAGGCTGACTGGGAAGTATATCTGAGAGAGACAGCCAATGCTATTGTCAGTCAGCAGACACCCCAGAGGTAAGTGAGTGTAGCAAATAATATATGACATTGATAAATGTCAGGTTGCAAAATACAACACATATGTTTTCTGACACTAAAGATTTACACTGATGATTTTAATACTATGAACGTTTAAAAGATGACTGTAACTAGATTTAAAACTTATGTGTGTGTGTGTGTGTGTGTGTGTATTTGTGCTACATAATAATAAAACAGTTTATAAATAGATGCATTCAAAATAAGATGTGCCCTGGCAGTCTCCAAGAACTGGATATGATTGAATGTAAGAAAAAAAATNCATAATGGCAGATGACAAATTTGGGAAGTCCAACTACTACTGAATTAGCTTTTGTTGAGAATACTGGTAAATTCACTGTTGCCCAGCAGGCAATTTTTCAGAAGCTCATTAATGTAACATGCAGAGTTATTGGCACTCAAAGCTATTTTCTAGAATAATTTTGATTGGAGAATGAAATGTGTTATAAAAAGTTTTGGAATGAAATTATCTAGCTGTTGCCTCCAGGGAGAAATGAGGTCTAGTTAACCCAATGAGCTTATTTACCTGCGTAGTTGCTTGTATCATTCTTCAGGAATCTCATTCTGTTACACAACTCTTCATCTATAAAGTAATATATTAAAATGTCATGTTTTACTAACAATTTTGGACAAATATTATGAAGCAATAATCTCTGCTGCAGGGTTGTTTTTTTAAAAAAAAAACTCCTTAAAAAAACCCCAATTATTTGATGGGCATTTTAGAATTTATACATCTGGAGTATCTCTGGTGCCTAGAATGAGAATGGATAAGTGATGTGGCTCTCATCGAAAATTGATTTGACAGTCTTTTGATTCTGATTCTATTCATCTATGGTGCAGTCTACTTCTAGGATCAGCAGGTCAATAACTGAGTAATTATAGTGCTTGGACCTGAAAGTGGAGAACTACCTTTTAGGGTGAAATAAAAAGGAAAGAAAAAGAATGAGATGACAGTATATCTACCTACTTCCCAAAATGGATTGCCCTGTTGCTGTAGCTTTCCTTCATTATCCATTCTTCGCTTTTGCACTGGCAAATTGTAAGCGATATTTTCCAAGGGGGAGATTTGTAGAGCTTCCAGTTAGCAATCTCTGTTGTACAGAGTTCCCCGATTGTATTTCATGTCCATTAAAGCTTCAGAAGCAAGCCACTGCAATTTGCTGGCTGCAGATGTTTATTTATATTCTAAGATTACCAACAGCTATCTTTGTCTTTAGCAAGGTTATTTCTCCTCATAGTGAGCCTATTTTTGGTTTGCCCTTTAAGAAAAGAAAAAAAAACCCATCCCAGTATAATTACCTATTTAATCAATTTATATACTAGATTACTAGAGTGCTTACTATATCAAAAGGATCTCTCAGAGCAGCATGTAGCTGAATTAATTTGCCTGACTCAGCAGTAGTGTGCCTCTTCTGAAAGTCAATCTGTCCCTAACATTTTATCACATAAATACTGTAGTATCCACAGCAGCTTCCTTGGTTGCTTGACTAACGGTGAGCAAGTGGAATGGCTGTATTTAAACTATCTTCCAGCAATATGTATGATCTACTTCTTTAAGGAATTTTTTTACCTCTTCCCCCAAATAAATTGCTTTTCTTACTACTGTCTCATCAAGGTCCTCCACTCCTCTGCTCACAGCAGAATACCTTATATCACCAGGCTTTAAATTTTGGGCTTAGATAACTTATGCTGCTTTCGGTCTGACCTGAGAGTAGTATACAAATTTATCTGCTAGAATGTCCTACCTGTCAATGATTACTTCAGCTTCAACTACAACAATACACGAGCACATCAATAGATGCAAACTTAAGGTAAACTGCTCCAAACGTGATTGCAGAAAATGATTTCAGCAACAGAGTGGTCAATGCCTGGAATGCTCTACCTGACTCTGTGGTTTCTTCCCCAAACCCCAAAAACTTTAACCTTAGACTGTCTAGTGTTCACCTCACCCCATTCCTAAGAGGTCTGTAAGGGGCACGCATAAGCACACCAACGTGCCTACCATTCCTGTCTTACTATCCCCACTTATTCGTATCCATTTCCTGTATTCATAATAATGTTTATACTTATATCTGTTATCTTATACATGCTTGACAAAACAAACAAATAAAAAATAAATAAAGGTATGTAAAGTAGCATATTTGTTTNTAGTGGGTCAATTTTCAAGTGTTATGGACAAGCAGCAGCTCTATTTTACTTAATTCTCCTCATAAGACACTAATAGCTTTCCATCATCTTTGGCAGTATTATATGTTGAATCAACCAATTACAGTACCCCCCTCCCCCCAAAATTAATGTATACATTAAATAAAATGGGAAATAGTACCCAATGCCATGACATCCCACAATGGAATAATCACAGGTTGATTGCTTCATGACTACTAATTGGAATTAGTAGAAGCCCATTCAGGATAGGAGAAAGTCACAACAGCAGAAGGATGCCTCCAAGCTCCAATTCTCACAAGTGGTCCAGAAGAATGATATCAAACATTTCTGAGCTATCCCACAGAACTACTAGCAGTCTGTGTGTAAGGCACCAAACTCAATATATATCTCTTGTCTTTCCTTCAGAGGTTCATGGCTGTTTATATCAGATTCCCTCTTCCATTTCCCCCCAAAACGGCAGGAGTGAGTGAGTGATCTGAACCTCACTGGCTGAGGGTAGAATTGAGTTTTCCCAATTTGAGTTCAACACTTTAATCCATATACTTCTAAGTACGAGACTGGAAAAGCTAACTGAAACTACTGATCGGTTTGTAAACAAATTGGAAGACTTCCTGTAATACCAACCATTAATTGCTATTATTGAAAGATGAAATTTGCAAGCAGAATGCATTTTATAGATTAACACCAGCTGAGCACTGTATGCAGAGAGAAAATGTTCTGATTATTTTTTTACTTGAGAGGAAGCAAAGAAAATGGAAATTAAATAGAGAAACTAAAATGCTTTAAGGTTCTGATGAGGGTCCATTTTAGGACAGGCAGACTATAGTTATAACTTCACAGTTCAAAGATGACTTAATTCCAAATAATCTGTCTGAATTGGATTCTCTGCTACAGGCTATGAATAATGCACACAAAGAAATAATCCATACTCTCTCCTCTATAATCTAAACATATTTGTCATAATGGCAGATGACAAATTTGGGAAGTCCAACTACTACTGAATTAGCTTTTGTTGAGAATACTGGTAAATTCACTGTTGCCCAGCAGGCAATTTTTCAGAAGCTCATTANCAACTCTGCAGTGAGAGGAACATGTACCACAGTGACTTGAAGGCAGAGTACTGTAAACTTTTGTAGGAACCATCTATCTTTATAAAGCTATAAATACATGTTTGCCTCTTCAGACAGAGACCTTGAGCCACGAAGTGCTTTAAATTGTTACATTGGGAATATTTCAACATGTTTTCTTTTGACTCTCATCTCATATAACTGAGAAATTGTAAGCATCTTTCTGGAAACCCTAATATCTCATAATATTTAGAGGGGCAGAAGTTTAAGACTATCCTATTGAGTTGTGTCTTATGTATTTATTCTTAAGTGAAGAAGTTGTTAAATTACATTTTCTTCATCATGAATGCACAAGAAAAATGGGTCAGCTACAGGTCCTTCCTATTCATAAAATGGTTGCCATAGTAGCTATGGTTAATTAGAAAAGATCAATTGACAAGACTACAATCTATAAGGTTGTTTCCTGTCACATTATCTAGCCTCCAGGGATAGGTGATCAGCCCCTACCCTTTAATTGCCTTACCTCAAAATAGATATAAGTGATCATAGGTATAAGGAACACAATTAGCTGTAGCTACTCATAATTTTTCATTTTTAGGAAGCTTAGAGGGGCTAAATGATTCTGCAGGCTTTGCTTTTCAGCATGGCAGATTCATTTTATATTTTGTTTAAAATCTTTTGGGGGGTGGGAAGGCTAGATATGTGGTAAGCAACAAGAGAAATGTCCAGAGGACATATGAGTGATGATGGGACAAATTGGGGACAGGGGGTGTGAGTATGAAAGCTGTGGTAACTGGATGCCATTATATTTTTCAGAGCTCATTGAGATCTGTTGCATGTGATTTATTTCTATATGATTTGTGCATGATTTATTAATAGGAATTAATATCACCAAAGCAGTTTACAAGTAACTTTGATTCTTGATTACAGTTTAAGGTTAAACAAGGTTCGCATTCTGATTTACACCAAGGAAAAAATTACTACCGAAGGCAAGAAAAATCACTTTGTATTGTGCAACCTGTTCTCCTTGAAACACATTTACTCCAAATTAAATGCCGCTGAATTCAACAGGGATCCCAAGTGTATAGGATTACAACTATAATTTCATGAGGCAGTTCTGAAACATTCAATTAATAGATGGTGGGTAGGAAGAAAATACAGTGGTAATGGGGAGGTGTTCTTGATGCCGCCTGAGCAAGGTTTTATTTTAATACTTGTTAAATAGTTTCATTTCTCTTAGGATAAATAGAATAGATCCTGCAAACTATCACTTTATTAGTTATGCCAAGTCTAAAAGACATTAATTCACCAGAGTAGATACATGGAAAATGAATGTTTTGAACAATTTTTACTTTAGGGAGGTATAGGCTACCAATGAAAACAAGACAAGATAATTAAAGTTGCAACTGTCTCTCTTTTTAGAGGTAAATCATTTTAAGTGCAGTATGGAAAAAAGAACTTGTATATTTAGCTTGTAGTATTCTGTAGTCCATTCAGAATCTTTATAATGTTTCTCAAATCTCTGAAAAATTTGTAGCAACTATTTTGCTCCTTAAAAGCCCCACAGTCACACAAAAAGTCAATAATACAATATATTGACTTTAAGAGGATTTTGTTGGACCTGAAAGATATGCTCATTAAGTGCAGTTAGTGTGTGATCAGTTAAAAGGTGAAGGGCATTAGCCAAGAGCTTTAGACCCAAAAGCTCACAGCTGAGAAATTTCCCTCAGTCTGATGCTCTCTAGACAA